GATCTGATTCTTATCTCTACACCGCATTCTGTGAAGTTAAACTTCACACAATCTTTGGGCCATGTGGGCCAAGTACTAACTCCATCTGCACTACTCCCTCTCTTGGTCCAGCTAACGATGCTACCATCTAAAATGTTGCATTATACTGCTCATGCCCAAAAGACGTGCCTCGATTCGTCGAGAATAAAATATTTATTTATTTATTTCCTATGGGGAGAGCCGCAAAACATGTTATTTCCGTCGGGTTGTGCGTCTGTGCTGGTTCGGCGTAGACAACTGCAAAAGATTGTTTTGGACAATTTGGCTATCAGCGGATAGACGCATAAGGTCACACGTTCGTGTATCCTGACACAAGAGTAATAGTTGTGGTCACTTACTTAACTTATTCGGCCAACCAACGCAGGAATCTGGGATACATTCGCCTGTGAATAGCCGGGTAAAAAATCGGTCTGTAAGGTGTATTGCCCGTTCCACATTGCAGTTCAAGTGGATCGGCGGTTGTATTCTATGGCGTGGTGAATGTTCGCTGTCAAACCTTCCTGCTACAAAGAGCCACAACTGTCCGTTTAACAACACTGTGACGTGAATGATTTGACTAGCCACAGGATAGTCACTACCCAACATTTCCACTGGCGCATTCATCAGACTTCTACATACAACCTCTGCAGCCTCTTCGTGACGTGGTGAATTCAAGCACTTTTCTCGGTAAAGGCCTTAAGGGAGCCCCAAATCTCCCTAGCTTTTAATGGAAAACCTTTGCACCCAACTGTTAGATTGGCTTCTGTGCTGATGATTCCATGGATGCTACATGGCGAAATCATGCCGAATTTTGGTTAGGGCAGCAACCGTTGTAACTACTTTTTCCTCGCGCAGTAGCCATCATGCTTCTGGATCCCACTGTTACCTGACACGATGCTCACAAGTGTAAACTACAAAACTTTTAGTTGCACCATTGCCCTAAACAAAATGTTTTACTATTCAAACGCAGTTATGCTTCTACGTATATTCGAGCACGCCTTCACTGGTGCGTCGCATCCCATCAGGAATATACCATTTATATATTTATTTACCTGTTAGGTCCTTATCGCTGACCATTTTAATCAGAAATTAGGTTCGAGTTGGTAGGCCAGCACAACGGAAAATGCTTTGTCGAACGCTACACCGACTGCTAGCCACTTAGTCCCAGATATTGACGTAGCATTGGCTGTAGGAATACGTTCAATCAATGGGTTTGTCAAGCGGACAGAGTAAGCGGTTGTGCCGTGCACGTAAAAGTCACATCGGCTGTTGGTGGTAGCGGTCTCTGGCGGAACCACGTCAAAAGGCAAAATGCATAAATGAGAGAATGACAGATCCTATTACTTACGTATTTATAAGTAAGGACATCCAGTACTAATACACGAAACGTCTACCCTCGACTAGTTGGCATAGACCAACAGACCCGCACATAAATCACGTGTGCAACAGTCTCGATGCTAAACTTATTCCTAGTAACGCTGCGAGCAAACGGTGAAATGCTGCGAAATATTACTGCAGCTCAGGTCAACCAATTCTAAAGATTAGGTGCTAGTATACCGTCTGCCCAACTGGCTCTCCATAGTGTTATCTCACTGCGAAACGGCGGCAAGTAACTTCGACACGTTGTATAGCTGAGTTAGGCCCACCTACATATAACGGTTTTTACTCCACTCTGTTAGTGGTGTCAGCACCACGCAAGGTGTTGGCATTCAGTAGAAGATCGATCCACTTTTCTTTTACGGAAGTCAAGAGGTGTTCAGAGACAGATTTTCGTTTGAAGGCGGTACTAATGAGAGTGTATAGTGCGTCCAACTGAAGCTCATAGGTTGTGTACACCAGTTTTCTCATCTAATGCCATTAGAAAATATTATCACAGTTTGTGACACCACACAAATGGCTGCAGCGCTTCTTAAATTCAAGCAGTATATGGAACCGGCACAGCGCGGTACTAGTCCATTGATATGTGGCCTTGATAGCAGTTAATTGAGGAAGACTGCCATCCAATACCGACGCTTCACATTGGTTGGTGATCGGCAGTGCAGTGAACATGTAATCAGCGGCTTCCGGGTAGCCATTGATGCACAAGTTGGGTAGTAAAGTGTAAAGGTGTGCCTAAAAGACATCTCGTCTGCAGGAAGGGTATGCACCCCAGCGTATCCACCTCGGTTAAGCCGCTGTATTGCGTCTACAAAAATAACAACGGCATATTTGTCGCACATGATATAAGCGGTTAAGGGGAAAAAGTGAATGGTGCGTGCTAAACCACCAGGTTCAAACCTTTTTAAAGATGCTAAAGTCTGTAACAGGGCGGGGAGTATATATTGCTTCTTATGACTGAAGGCAGTTATTGCGACGTTTACGGATCGAACAAACTGCCTGCAGTCCTAAACTTCCATGCAACCTGGTGGGCGCAATATCTTTGATTTTTCGGACCGTTTTACAACACGCCATTAAACTTTACAGCTCCTTGTCAGTAACAGGCGCTAGCCAACGATGGTGAACCTACGACCATAGATGACAAACTTAAAAGGAGGGTAGGTGTACCATACACCCACTTGCGTACCACTGACGACAAGGAACATTACGAGTTTCTACCCTCATACTTGCGGTATCTGGAATTGCTGTGCTAGTTATAAATTAAAAAACTATCAAGTTACCGACCAACTGCGCTGTGCTTTATGACAGTGAACACTACAAACTTCAAGGGGTAATAAGGAAACGCGCTCTCTGAGAGCTTTCCATTATACCGGGTGGCTTGCACTTTTGCAGCCAGTGAGGTATGGATGTTGAAGGAACAACAACTTTAAAGATGCTTGCCACCTATTTTATGGAGACGCGAGTTACAGCTGACTCTGCTGAGGGATATTCCAGTTAAGAAAAGCAAGTGCACCTGCTGCTGTATGAACTAAATTTTACCGAAGCGCTTGGGGCAGATGCTGTTCATCATATGTCATTGTATGAACTCGCCGCTGAGCTTGATAAGCAGAGCACGCGTTCATTTGCGAACTGCCTTCTTCGCTGCCCCTTACATCGCTGGAAGTAAGCGAGCGTATGCGCCAGTTTCAAAAAGTGCGACTAACGCATTCCTGTGGACTACAGACGGGCTATGTTGACCATGGTAGCGGTCAAATTGGTGGCGGAGCTGGTAACGGATCGCCTAGAAGCCCCTTGAGAACATTCAACTTGACCAGTCCGTCTCAGCATGGTTTTCGTAAAGGCTACGCTTGCATTACTAATTTGTTGTTTGCTCGGGAATGCTGGGCCGACGCGTTAGGTCTGGAAAGGCAATGGATTTGGCTTTCATTGACCCTGCCAAAGCTTACCTGTTTTGTAACCTGCGTTCATATGGCATAACCTGGCAAGCACTACATTAGCTAATTGCATTCCTAGAGGGTAAGGGGATGTGGGTTCAAGTGGTATCGAGTCTATGCTCTCGACAATTGTTTCTCAGTGTTGTTCCGCAGGAGTCTGCCCTTGGTCCACTGTAATTCACATTAGCAGTTAATGGTGCCTAAGAAATTGGACGTGTTGTCTCTCGTGATTGTCGACGACCTCATGTTCTAGAGCATGTTCAGTGCACCAGATGCATCCGTTTTTGTAGAGCATACTTGATAGCCTCTGGAATAATTCTACCTTGTGGCACCTACTCAGAAATCTTTCAGTGCTCAGTTTTGCGCTTTGGGAACAGTGGGCAATCAAAGCCTCGCTCTTTAGGAGCAACGAAGTATCACACGCATTCGAGCAAACCTACGTAGGTGTCACGCTGTCATCGAATCTCAACTTAGTCGCAAGCTGAACAAAGGCTGCCTACAAGAGGTTCAGAATTCTATAAATGATACGCAGGTCATTTCGAATCATAACGGGTAAACTGTTTGTTTAACTTAACGTGGCTTTCATCAGACCCTTCTTAGAGTATTGTGCCTAAGCCTGCTCCCCTTGCTTGGTGACGGACCAGATGGCAGTTGAGCAGGTTTTGTGGGGTAGCACCAAGATAGAGCGTAGGCTAAGACGTGAGCATATCCTGAGAGATTACTTAGGCTGGGTCCTCCACCCCCCCACACTATCGGTGTCAACAGTGCGATCTGCTCCCGATCTGTCGCATTTTATGTGCACCAGCTTGGTGCGGATTTATTGCACCTTCTCCTTCCAACTCGACTGCCGACTCTCCATGAGCATCTAAGGAAGCTGTATATGCTTAGATCCCATCGGGCAAGGGCTGAGATCTAGTTATGGCGTAAGGTGATAGACCCTTGGAACACCCTGACTGAGGACGCAGTTTTGGTACCGACGAGTAAGTAGACTGAGCACTGATATGAGGCCCTCGATTTGAAGATATACCTATTCCATTTCACCTCTTAGCCTGCATTATAAGGTTCCATTTATATTACTCTTTATTCCTAGTGTCATATTACGTTGTCTGTATTTTCAGTTTCTTATCCTGTCCTTCCATTGGTTTTTATTTCTAGTTCACATAATCCACCCAGCGGGATTCCTGACGCAGGCCATGTGGGCATTAATTCCTTGACCTCAATGTGACGCGCATGCCGGTTGTAGACCCATTAGAAGACAAATCGATCCGTCAAAACCCACAAAAGATCAACGGCACCTTTCACAATGGAGCATCCATATTGTTCTCTTAATGTTCCTGTCCCACTTGAAGTTAAATTCGTCAAAATTTATACATGCAACTTTACACATTCGAGGAGAAGGACCTAGTCATCTGACCGGGAGCGACAAACACGCTCCACAGACATACCCGAACTAGAATATGACTTGCTGACCGAAATGGGCTCTTTTATAATTGCGCAACAATCTTAAATACAAGTGGTGCGTTTAAACACGCACTGCCGCAATTGCTAACTGCGTACATTTTGGTAGCAAACAATTGCAATCCGGATGTCATTTGCTGTTCTAAGGTTGTTGCTACTATAAAACGGTAGCAAAAACCAACATATTCAGGCACATTCAATACGGACTAGTAGAGCACTCCATTCTGCCTGCGGACCGCGGCACTACCCCAATCGCATACCCGATACCGGGATCCCTTCTGCCCCGTGTGGTGCACTCCGTTTTCCCTCGTTTTACCTGTTTCCTTTGTTCGCGCTGGCGTCACGCTTCTGTGAACAGGTACGTCGGCCAGTTTGGAATTTTAAATGATTTTTTTCAACACTATTTCAGCTTGTGCATTTTGCTGCGCAACCAAAATTCTGGACAAGCCCGGGAATCAACCTACTGCTAGTATAGACTCTGTTCGTCGGAAATACATCCCCAAGAACTGCCCGTTGGTTTCTAAAAGCGCTGAAATTCCTGAATCGGTGTCATGGAATGCTGGTTTGACGCAGGAACAAAGTGTAGACCCCACAGAGCCTGTTCGTAAAGCAGTTATTTTGTAAGTTTCTCCTTTCTAATCTTTGTCAGAATACTCAATAAAGTTACCTTAGAAAATTTCGAACAGCAGTCTAAAAAAATACTTGATGTCAATATCAGTTCTCCTTATATTCTCAGTGTTGTTTTGCAGCTTGTAGGTTATGACTTTATTAATACGTCCCAGATCTTTCGAAAGGCTATTAATGAACCAAACTTTACTGCTCTTTACGCCCAGTTGTGTTCGAACTTATGTACAAGTGCACCAAATTTCGAAGTAGCCGGGAGCCCGCAATCGGTACTTCATTTTGTTCTAACCAACGTTGTAGACTTCCCTAATCTTACTGCTAAAGCTTTGCGAGAATGAGTTCAAAGCGCGTAACCGGCCAGATATTGATCCACCCACTGCTCGTCAAAGATCCCTTGGAAATGTACGCTTTATTGCTGAGCTTGGCCTTCTCGGCGTCGTTCCAGAGAAAGTACTGCACAACTGCATTGTCGAACTTTTGTCTGGACACAGGCGATCTAGACCAACTTTGGCTGAAACCACCGGCACAACAGGTAATCCGTTTCACTTTCCTCCTTGTCCACTTCTAACCACATTCTCTGCATCACTTCAGATGTATGGCCGCTCAGTAGTCCTAAGGATCACGTGTGCCTTGTAATCCGTGGGCGTGGGTTTGCGTCTGCGTGAGGACCGGGCGACTGCAATATCCATGGCTTGCGTGCGGCTAGTGCTAGTTGCGCAGCAGCGAGGCGTCCGTGCTGCGTACCAGCGTACTGCTGATGCCTTTTCGGATGTCCAATGCGCCTCAACGTCTGAGAGTAGAGCTCTTCGAACTAGTAGCTAGCGTACTCTGAAGGGCACCAAGATTATTTGGAGCGACAAATTTCCGGCGACACTGCTATGTGCCAACAAAACGCAGAGCGATTCCAGCAACCACAAACTCGTGATCAGGAGTGATTTGTTGTCTGTTACATAGCCTCGTCAACGGTAACTGATGACAATATTTCCACCCTACTTCCACGATTCTTCAGATGAGGTGTCGCCATGTGCCGCGTTGGCGCCAGGAGCGTCGAAAGTTTGTGCTCGAGAGCAATAAATCGTGATTAGCACATATCTTTAGCATTCGGTCTCCGTAATCCCTTTTGCAAGTGCCATGGCCATACAGATTACCGACCTCGTGTTCATAAACTGAGCCTGCCAACCTGTGCGCTTAGGTCCCTGGTGAGATCCACGATTCTTATGAAATAGGTCGTAGAGTTACGGTAAAACTCATCTTCAGCTGAGTCCGGGCTGCAGTCCTTGCGAACATTCACCGTTATGCGCAACAAAGTGTTTGGTTACCTCGCGGCTGGACAGTCTGTGGGGATTTCCGGCCGAATCGCGCAGGGTTGGCTGTTAATTAGAATCCAAAAAAGTAGCGCTGCTTCTGCGTGCGCACTAAACACAATTACTACATCGGTCTGGTCCGCGGCTTCTTCACCTTCGTTCCCCGATAAGTTCAGCCTCAATGTGTCCTGTAAACGATCCGAGGATTACAGAAATTCATGTCCAATTGTTGGGTGCACGTAGAGCTTTTCATTTACTCAGGTAGGGGAAGTGGGTTGACTTAGGTAATTCCATGCAGCGTCTTAGCTATTAAAGAGGAGTAGCAACAAACCACTCAGGGCACCCGAACAGCCAAATTATAGCGGTACAAATGCAGAAAATGTTTCCTGGAACATCCGGCTCGTTGCTGAATGTGAAGACAGTCGGCAGCCAATTGACTCACGCCTTCGTAGTGTCCGATGTCAGTACCTATAGAAGGGAATGGTTGTCGAGTTTGTACATCCATTCACCGTTCGCTACTCCGGTTAAGAAGTGTTTTTTCCATTGTTGTGCGATCTTTATGGTATTTATTCGTTAACTAGATGGCCAGACTCGAACTCCCCACGCTCTGAGACGCTGCGCTGATTGTCCATGACTGCATATTAATCTCACCTGCAAATCGAACGAGACTCATTCACGCATATCTACCTTAGGAAAGCATTCCTCGATCCGCAACTGAAGAGGCGCGCGACAGTGTACAACATACCTGTAAGCCTCCCTCTGTGCAGACAATCTATTATCAGCTTTGTATTTCTTCAACACTTCTCTACCCCTGGTACCTCATGGCATCACCGCTGCATTAATATACGCCTAACGTGTCACTTTCATTTTTGGATTTTGTGGTCCACACTCTACCCACCTACGGGACTCGTTTGGCATTCACTCGGTTTCCGCTGCCTAATCAGTACTCAGTGTACAGATCACACGCTGCTTTGAAACGCATTGCGTGCTGGCCATGAAACGAATATCAAGATCACCCATGTTGTCTACTGCGTTACAGTCTTATTGCTTTTATTGATACGTCACCAGTCGCAATTGCATGACGCTAGGGAGCTACCTGCACTGCACTCATCGCACTAGTGGTGTCTTTGTCCACCGATGCACATGCGGCTTAGCGGTTTGGCCAAAGTAAGCTGTGACCCCCGCGCTCCAATGCGCTACTCGTATTGTGCCTGTTGCTCCGTGCACGCCATGTGTCCACAGGACGCGATGCCTTGTACGAGCAAACGCCTGGGAGCCAGGCTTAGGAACATTTACGATCGACCTTGTTAGAATGCCAATAACTGGTAACCCTATTCGACAGCAGGCTCTGTTATGACGGCGCTGTGAATCACTCCCGAATTCCTTATCATACACTGGCCCAGTTTCATATTGGCCTACCGTTGGTGACCTCAGGCATCAACAAGTTACCACGACCATCTACCCCCATTATGTAATCCGTTACCACCCGTGATAAGTCGCAACTCCGGGCCGAAGTGAATCACTTATATCCATGTACCCTACACATTCGTACACGTTACTGTCTATGCATCCGATATCCTATTAGTTGGTAGCGCTCGGCTAACGCGCATGTTAATGTCGCCTTAACCAGTTTGATTCTTTTACTGACAAACTGTTAGGGTAACAGAGGCTTTGATATCATTACCTGTGTGGACTGAGTGGTATGTTTGATGGATTTCCTCCTAACGACCGTTTATGGCCAGCTCTCTTGGTAACATCAACTAAGATTAGCTTACGAATTAACACTGTAGGCTGTTTTCTTGTTGCTGTTTATTACCCCACCGACTGTAGTCATGAATCTGCCATTGATATCTTTTGTCATCTACTTAACGCACTGACTCGAATTGTTACTAATTCAAAAATAGTACCGGTTGCAAAGAATATGAGTGTGCATATAGGTTAACTTAGCTTATTAATGATCTGAAAAGACCGTATGTTTCACATTAGCTCCAAACGCACAGAAGATGGCGGGCGTTTGTTGCAATGGTACACCAAGTATGTTGTTTCTTAGTTGCACTGCACTTAGATAGTGGACGCCCATCGGCACTTGCTTTCTTCTGACGGTTAACTACTAGTGAACGGCATCGCCATACTTTCTAGTTGACATGATTCCTTCGTTTTCGAACACGTCTGTCGGTTCTAATCATCCCCCAGTCCTCTGCAGCTTCTTCAAGCTCTCTGTCAAGAGGCATATCAGACGATTCTCTCAGTTAAGAACCTGTCTCAGTCTGTTCAGGCTAACCCACCAGTGGCCCAGCATTTGTTGACATACGACACGGGATTCTGCTTGAGGTCCTATAAGTCGGCATCTCACTGGTTACTAGATATCCAAGCGGCTCATAAACCGGCCGAAATTGAGGGGAAAAACTTTTACTGGCATCAAACACAACTGATAAGCCCTAAAAGTACACCCTATCGCGCGGCTCTGGCCATGAACTCTCTCCGGCACTGCTCTACTTTGGTCCATGTGCATGTCGCCGATCATTTGAGGCTGGCTGTGTGAGCATATCTTACCTTGATAATACGGTACTATTGTAGCCGAACGACACGGCAATGGAGCACATTCTTTATTGGTGCAGAACAGGCAATTAATCCACTCACTCAGGCGCACTGATATTGGTCATGTTTCCCTTCCATGACACACCACGTTTTGTGGAATCCGCTCGCGACACATCTATACGCCTACGCAGATTGAACCATTGAGTAACTCTTCTTGTTTCACCCCATATCTCCGCTTTTATCCGTCACATTTTTGTCGGCTAGGGTTCATTTGGTGGCTTTTGATTTGTTCAATCGAGGTTGCATCCTAATCCTTAGGGTTATTCCCGGAGCCTTGACCCAAGGCGTCCATCGCAATGAGGCTGGACCTTACCCTGGTGCGATGGTTTGTGTGCCTCAGCGATTCATTGAGCTATGCTGGGTGGTGTTTTTTGCACCTTCAGAGCCACTCATACCAGATTGGTCAATGGTTAGAGGCCAGACCAACTCAGCCTCCTTGTCGTCCAGATTGGGGTTGAAATGAGGATGGCTCCTTATTCCTTAAAACGGACTCCTTGTAGCCCAACGCCAAACCCACTGCCTTGCGGTCAGGTTTTTGAACCAAAAGCTTTGGTTGAGAACCCTAATCGTTCTCCTGTCTAGTCCTGGGCGACCTGACAGTAAGTTGCCCACGCAAACCTATGAATCTTTTCTCAACGAATTTCCTCATGCTCTGGCCACCGCAGAGCATAATCAACGGTGCCCTATCTGCCGCATCGAGCGGGGTGGATAGGGGTTTAGATGCTACTGCTCAAGTTTCCCCCGCTTTCTTATTCCCTCTCTTACACTTTTTCTCTTACCATCCCGTTCCAGCTTCACTTTTATCTCCCCCGTTTTCAACCCCAATTCTTTGCCCTCCCCCATCTTGCTTTGCTAAGCTTTTGCCTTCTAGTTTCAAATCACATGTCAACTCGGAGCGTCATTCCTGCCCTGTCGACAAGCCCATGTTCAACCAAGCGGCCGAGCCCAT